CTTCCACTTACTCTATTTGGAAATAATAAACCTAAAGTTCTTTTAAAGTAGTATAATTTAATTCAAGTTTTTCACTAATCTAGACATTGGTCTGTCTTATAGTGTGGATGAAGATTTTACTAATTACTAGCATATAACAAGCAGGAATGCTTGGAGTGACAACTGCCTTCATTAACTTAGTGGAATAGCTGGCTGATACAGAAAATTTACAAAGAACATTACTCCAGAACAGTGACTTTTATTTTTTACCTTACCATAGTAAGAAACACATTTCTCATTGCAACTGAGTACACACACACACACACACACACACACACACACACACACACACTGAAACAAAAACAATACTTACCCTTATTATGTGTGGTACGCTGTTATTTTCTACTTATTTTCTAATAAATGCTAGCCACAACCTACTAAATTGATTTCACAATCTATTAACGGGTTGCTGTTTTGAAAACACTATTCTAGAATCTGTTGGGAGATAGTACTCCTTCATGAGAAGTTGGGGTGGGGGGACAAGGGGGAAGAAGTGTGGTTGCCATCTGGTTTTCTTGATGGTGTTGAAACAGGGCCCAGTTGGGATCCCCGTAGCAGAGGCCACACAATGTCCCCAGCCTCACCTTTCCTTGATCTGCATAGAGCTTTAACAACAGATCATCCCCCTATGTTTTGAGCTCAGAATGTCCCCTGTCCCAGCTCCCTGTTATAGAAAATTACCCTGAGACTTATGATTAATACTCTTAGGCTTATTGATCACAATCTCTATGGTCTAGCATGCTTTCCAGGCTAATCCCATCAGTATTCCTGGGTTGCTGACGCCGCCACCGGGGAACCACGTTGCCAGGGGGAAGACTCCATTCAGACCCCTGGAGCCATCACCTAGCCTCTGGAGAACCGCCCAGATTTTCCCTTAAATACCCTAAGCCGGTCTGAGAATGTGAAGGCAGATTTTGAAGGTCCCATCACCAGTGCTCTGACAATAAAGGCATATCCTATAGCCCATCTCCTGTGTTGGTCTATTAGCTGAGCGGCGCAGGCAGCATGGGCCCTGGGTCTCGGTTGCCTACCGGTTTCAGTGTTTTGTCCCCATTCTCCTTTCTTAAATCCTTGGTCATCCGCCTCACTGCTCTAGTCATTCCTGCCTCCTGTTCCTGGACACTTAGCACAAGTCTCATTCCTGTCCTCATCAACCCTTCCAGCTCATTTTCCATGTCCCTTGCTTATTTCAAAAGACCAGCCTGAACTCCAGACAGAGAAGCTGGCCAGACTGACCCACTGCAGATGACGCAAGCTGACTATATACAGCCTCTCCACCAGCCGTGTGAGCCCTCTCCAGCTTTAGTTTGCTGTCCCCATCGTTCCTCAGTTTCTGACTCTTGGCTCCATTTTCCATTAATAGGCCTCTGTTCTCTTTGGACTGGGTTTGATATTTGGTATTGCTCTCCCAAATTCTTATCTAATCACACTTCCCTAAGTATATGGATAATGTATTATCATCATGGTAAAAACAAAATCTTTGTGGTCAGACAAGACCCCGTTCCCCCATACTCACCATCTATAAAGCCTTAGATATACGAGTATCGTTTCATTTCCTTAAGCCTCAGCTTCGTCATCCATAAAATTGGGGGGAAGTGTCCATTCTGCAGGCTTGTGAAGGGTAAATGATCCTTATACAATGCTTATCTTATGTCTGACATATGGCAAGCACTCTCTAAATGTTACTATGATCAGTATTATTATTGTTGCTGCAATTATCATCTAGATTTTACCTACTGGCTCATCTCTTACCAAAACCACACCACCCCGTCCTCAAGGGCAGATACTGGTTCAGAGTTTGAGACTGTCTACCCCGTAGCCATGCTTGCCAGCTGTTCCATGCACCAACCCCCTCCCAATGCCTACTGTGAGTTCACGCCAATGCTTTGCCACTTCCATCTCAGTTTGGGTCTTTCCCTGCATCCTATAGTTCTCTGCATGGCAGATCCTGATGAGAAATTTCATTCCTGATGTAGGTGGACATTGCTACAGCTGTCAGTTCTGATTAGTTAGCTTCATGGAAGGGCCACAGATAGGAGGTAAGCCCAAGAATTTCATGCCTCCCCTCAAGCAAGCCACCCAAACAGGTCGTAACCTTCTACCATAAAAACCGAAGCAGCCTCGTTTATCCCATTCAGCAAGGAGGGACTGAAAAGAATACTTGTTTTACAGTTCGGGGACCCCACCCTGAAAGCTCACACCAGGCTCTGGGTACAAATAACACGTAGCCAGGACAAATGTTTGCAGCCCTGGTTCCGTGAACTGTCTCCCACCTCCCTCGCTCTGTACCTCGCCCATTAATCCAGTTCTAACATGCCTGGCTATGCTTTTGCTCCTATTCCCACCATGTCCTTGCTTTATTCCTTTGATCCAGTGCATTTCTTCCCTGGCTTTGGATATCCCTGCAGCTATGTTGGACCTCTGTTTTTGGTTTAATGTACTCACAGATTACCCTAGTTAAGCCCCTCATATTAACAGCCCCTGGTTCAACTCAACCCTAATTCCTTCTTCCCATAGCTGGCTGGCTCTCATCCCCTGACAGATCTGCCCTAGTCCCATGGATAAGACCATGAAAAGTAGCAGTCTTTGATATAAATGCCTTTTCAGATAATAGTGTCATTTGTTCATGTTCTAAATCTACAAGCATAACATTTGGGGTATGTGCCCTTGCTCTGTTATCTAGAAAAGTCATCCCTTCCTGGTGAGATTATATCTGCTTGGACATCACTTGCAGCTGTGGAAAGAGGCAGTGATTAACTTACCTTACAGTCAGGATCTTCCATCTTCCAAGAATAATGGGTAAAATCATAGTAATTAAGAGCCCAAACTCTGAAGCCCAAAGACTTGGGTCTAAATCCTATCTCTGCAACTTACTACCATATTGTGAGCTTGGTTTTTTCTTATGTGTTTTGGTTTTTATTTGTTTTGGTGCTATTTCGATAAATAAGATAAGCATCTTGATCATCTCAAGTTAGAAATATCAGAATTATTCACTAAGTTTGAGACATTGACCCCTGCCTTGCTTCTCTGGCGCTACCCAGCGCCTCCCTTCATGAATCTCTTTGTATAGCAATTCAGCTGCATTATTTCTCTGTCATGTTTGTTGTCTGGCACTGTGCTGGGTCCCAGAGATACGAAGGTGACAAAGCATAATCTCTACCTTTAAGGTATATATATATATGACAGACAGGTTTACAGACAAATACATTCATTACAATGTTAAGGGTGCTGAGATGGGGGACTTTTCAAGGTACCCCGGAGCATAAGGCCAGGCATAGTGAGTGTGCCTGGAGGACAGTAGAGGAGGGTATTGAGAAGCAAAGGAAGGCTACGAGGAAAAGGTTGCTGCCTGAGCTGAATCTTGAAGTTATCCTGCCTTTCATTCACAGTCTCAGATCTATTTCAGTGCTGAGGCAATCTGAATAAGGGAATCTCTATAAGCTTAGAAATGGCACCCTGAATTCTAGTGGGCTAATTCCAAGGGTTGGGGTCCCCACATTGCCCCCCTGGTCTCTTTGTTGTGATCAGTTAAAGGAGCTGCTATTATGAAAGTGACTCTTGAGCCCAATGTCAGAGCTCTGTGATCTGTCCCCCATAAGAGGCTCAGTCCTTAGTATTACACTGCAATCTTTATCATATGTCGTACTAAGACCTCCCCTAAGACTTAAAGCCCCTTCTTTGAACTCGAGCCCAGTCACCAGAGTCTCTGCAGCTTATCTTGTCCTGGCCAGCCCTCTTCTCTGGGATCTGGGGTTTTAAATCACAGCTGGGATTCTGCCATCCATCTGGAGAATGGTTTTCAGAATGGCCACCCACCTACTGAATTCCCCACTGCTGGGGTGCCCACTTAACCCAACCCCAGCTATGTCTGGGTTGCAGCTAACTTGCGACAAAGACCCTCTCTTTGACCAGACTTTAGTCAGGCTCCTCTGAGCCCTCTTCTGGACCACATCTCAACATTGGTGCCCATCCTGTCTTAGGCTAACCCAGCCCAGTGTTTGCAAGAATACTGCTAAGTAAGTTTAGCGAGAGTCCCTCACCCCTGATATCTGATCACTCTTGATATCTAACCAAGTTCCTCATCCTCCATCTTGGACGTAGAAGTCCTTGGCCTACCTTTAGCAAGAATCCTATTAGGTCAGTTTAGCAGGAATCCCCCCATCCTTGATGTTTCCTCCTAGTAATTTTCTAACCACTGACCCCCTTACCCTGCTCTTTGGCTATAAATCACTGCTTATTCTTGCTGGATTTGAAGTTGACCTTGATGTCTCTCCTCTATTGCAAAAGATTTGACCCTTATTACAATAGTCTTGAATAAAGTCTTCCTTACCCTTTTAACAAATGTGAGAATAATTTTTTTCTTTAACATTTGCCATGCCCTTGCACAATAACCATGGACAGCCCACAGTCCAGCTGCCCCACTGGGCCTGCTTTTCCTTCCTTGGTCTGCCCTAGGAATAAGAGATCTCACTCCAGGCTCTCGAGCTCCTCTCTCCTCCTCACCAGCCTCCAGCTGACACCTGTGCAGCAGTACAGCTCAGGTAGAGTCCGTCACCTGAAAGTCTGAACCTGGAGAATATGGGCCAATTCTATTCTAACCAACTTCATCAGATCATCGAAACATATGAATAAATGTAAATCGTTTCTGAACATAAATATATCTTCAAAGAGCTTTCTTATTAGTATTACAGACATAAACAAAATACATACACTCAAGGAATAAAATATCTGTCCTGTGCTCTACTGAATAAAAAAATCACAGCGGATGCAGTGATACTCCAGTGGTGCCATAAACGATTTCCTTGGCCTGTTTTGGGGCAAAGACTTATCTGAAATTTTACCTTACGGGTTCCAAGTGTGTTTTTTTTGTTGTTGTTAGTTGAGAGAATGTATTATAAAAGCCTCCTCACCTAGAGCTCTGGTGATTTTTCATGTTTTATTCATCTCTTTCACTTGGCTTCAAGTAAGGTATGGATTTGATGAAATTCAAAATTTACTGTATTTTTGTTTTAATGTCAGGTACAGAATTTTCCTCTTGAATCTCTCTCTTCATTAGGACTGTTACTGAAGTGTTTTGAAGGAAATGGCGTATCAACCACTCATTGGTTCTCATGGCTTGGCAGTGGAGGCAGGGCCTTTCCCTGATTTGATAACTTCCCACATTCTTTTGCCTCTGAGCTATATTTTTCCTCTTCTTAATACTGGCAGGCGATGGGGTCTCACTTTCACTCTCCTTCCATGAGGAGGCTCCCGAGTTAGATTCTTCGCTGCCATACTCTGTTGTATCGCTGTCAGGTTGGGTCTGAGTCATCTGGCTGAACTGAGAATGTTGCTTGGCTGGTCTTTGTTCAAGACAGGCATTGACCAAAGCCACTTCTGAGTCAGTTACAGGGGTCAGTTGGCTCTGCTTCGGTTTTTTCATCATTTGTAAAGAGTCCCAGACACCATGTTTGTTTGGCCGCTTATAGGAAGCATCTTGGCTTGCTAACAACCAATGAAACAAATCAACAAGTTAGGCACATCATTGGGTACTATAACTTCATATTACCTATTAGCCTATGACGTGTGTGGGCTCACTCTTAGTTGCCCTTTACCAAGCCAGCACCACTTTTCTCCATTCATTTGGAAGCGTTGGCCGCTGACTGCATTTTCCAGTACCACACCAAACCTCCCAAAGACCAGAAAGGTCAAATAGATGCTTGATGTTTTACTTTTGAAGTTTCATGGACCCTGATATAAGATCAAGGGAAAAGTCTCCAAACTTTTCCAGAGAAGGATCCTTTTTTTTTGTTTGTCTTGAAGTCTTAAAGATTCAAGTGTGTGTGTGTATATATATATATATATATATATATATAAATGTGATTTGGGTAGAGGAAACTAAAAAGAATCTTTTCTTTAGACAGTGGTGTGCTGGAGTTGGCTTGCATTAGCGAGCTCACCAGAGCTTGATTGTTAAGCTTTTAGGAATTTTGCTAGTTGTTAAACACAGCTATTAGTAAAAATTAAATTATCCAAATTTACCACTCAGTAGATTTCTTACAAATAAACATAATACTCAAAACATCACTTCCTAATTATTTTATTACATTTTATTATGATGTATGTATGCTCTTGAAGCTGTTTGTCTGCTATTATCTGGATGTTGGAAATACTGTGTAATGATGTGCTACTGTGCATCTTTTCCCAACTCCATGTTCAATATCATCATATTGGTAACTTGAAACCATTTTGGGTGGCATAAAAATCAATAAGCACTAAAAATGAAGTCTTAGTTTATGGTTTTGTTGACTGTCTAGGCTTAAAGTGATGGAGAACATGTTACTAACAGAGATGACATTTTCAAGTGTCATGCCTGTAGACACTACATTGAAAATAGCACCCAAAAATGAGGAAATATCCTTCTAGAGTTTTCTAAAACTATTATTCAATTCAGCAAAGAAGTCACTCACATCACTGACAACTAAGTTAAGTTGTCACATCTTCTTTTTTCTTTCATCTTATTCTTTCACATAAGGGAAAGGAGCATTCTTATTGGAACTACACTTGCTCATCAACTGCAGCCATAGGTTAGCTAAGGATGATGGTCTGGCAAAAATCAAGGAAAAGTATTTTGTAAGAATCAGTACTCTATATGGAATTTCCCATAAAGAGTATTATATGTTTTATTATTTGTAAATTGTGTGATATAGATCCTTTACATCAGTAATTGGTTTTTTACAAAAATGAATAATACACACATTTTTGGAGAGCCATTTGTTAAACATTTCCCAGCACACCACTGTTTATACAGGTTATTGAAAAAGATGTATTTACAGCTCGTAATACTGTAGTAATTCTAACCATAAAGGTATGTAAAAGGGAAGAGTGTGAAGAGAGAATGCTGAGGAATGAACAGAGAATGAACAGGAATGAGTCAGTTCTTCACCTGCCAGTAACTTATAACCTCTGCTAATGCAGCTAAGGTATCCTGCGCTACAGCAAGGAGCTCACCCAAGGGCCACCACAGGTCGAGGAGGCCCTAGAACACTCAGCTGTTCACCTCTGTTGTTGGCTTTCCAGACTCAGCCATATTTCTCTCATCATAGTCCAATACTAAATATGCACTGTCTCTCACCTTTACTTACTGAAGTGCTTGTCCCAGTGTCTTCATCCTTTTTCTTCTCAAACATCTATTTCAGAAATATAAGTGAGTGACAATGCTCTTACATTATCCACACCCTCAGATCATTCACAGCCTCTTAGTCCCAACTAGTACGCACGGGTACAAAAGTTGCACATGGAGAAGGCTGATAGGAAAAAAACGGATTCACTTGAAATATGGTGTGGGAGGAAAGCTCTATGGATACCCTGGACCTCCAAAGAGATGAACAGGTGAGTCTAAGAGCAAATTAAGCCTCAAGCACCGCTGGAGACAAAAATGACAAAACCGAAGCTGTGCTTCTTTGGGCACATCACAAGAAGGCAAGGTTTTATGGAAAAGACACCACTGCTGGGAAAAATAGATGGCAGCAGGACAAGAGGAAGACCAAGTATGAGATGGATTGACTCCGTAAAAGCCATAGGCATGAGCGTACAGGAGTTGAGCTGGGCTGTGAGGACAGGACATGGTGGACGTCACTCATTCATAGAGTCGCCAGGAGTCAGAGCGTCTCAACGGCACGTGACACACACAACAGTCATCTCGGCTGTTTTTCACTCATATATACTTGTTAAAAATACTATTGCCCTAGGCCCTTAGACAATGCCTAATTTTAATCATTCAGTGCAGTTCAGTAAATACTTATTAAGTTCCTATTATGATGATCCCACTTCTACTACCCATTTGGAAGACATGCTTTGGTAGAAGAATCTACCAAAATGTTTTGAACCAAGCAAAATGGAACAAAGGCTTGAGAGAAAATAATACTGATAAGGAGCTATAGTTTATAAAGTTTTCTTGTACTCACTTACATTAGAGAGAAATATTGTTTAATATCATTTAAAAACAGATTTGATAGTAGTAGGAATCATTTTAAATTACTTTTTAAAGGACATTTTATCAGGCCACGTTATCAATAATTCTTTCAGAACTTTACCTGAATTCATAGACTTAATATCTCCTAAATCCTTCAGAAACTTTCCTCCAAAATGCAACCGTAATATATTATCTGTGACTATGGCAACCAGAATAAATGATTTCTCTGAATAGTTCCAATTTCAAATATTCTGCCCCAATACTCCATAAATATATTTGTCCCATATTTTTGGTCAGTCTACCACTTTTTGATGCTGAAAAATGGTTTTGTCAAATGATACAAACATAAAGCACATCTTCCAGAATGTATCAAAAATTTTAGAAAAAAACATAACACTTTTGACATATAATAATCCTTCTGGGAATCTATCAGGAAATAATCCCCAAAAGAGAGAAAGCTTTGTGTACAGAAATACTTATCACAGTGTAATTAGGATAATATAAAATACAAAATTCAAAAGTAAGCAATAGGCTAATAAATTATGGTACAATTATATAATATACAGTTGTAAAAATTATTATAACATGAGGAAATAGTAAATATAATATTAAGTTAAAAATCAAGGTGCAAATTTGTATATGCAGTACGATCACAACTTAGCTAAAAATATGGAAAAAAGAGACTAAAGGATGTATACAAGTATTAGCAATGGCTTGCTTTGAGTGGTAAAAGTGATTTTTTTCCTTCTAATATTTCACATTGTCTTACAATGAGGGAAAAAATGAATTTATGTAGAAAGTCAGACTTCCTTTGGGTTGAGAAGTGCCAAACTCAACTCAAGAAGTATATAACTCAACATAACTGAAGTCTAAGGTCCTTCACCCATTCCTTTCTTAATATCTGCTCTCTACAATGGTAGGCAAGTATCTCTAACGAGGTACCTCTTTGCTTTTTGGGTTACGGCAACCTTTCCCTGAAAACCTTAAGAGTAGAACCCTCTTTTAAGAGACCTCTTTTTAAAAAATGGTTTTGGGGGGCTTATTTTAAATTTAATATGTATAGAGATCATTATTAAAAGATTAGATGTTTGTAAACCTAAAAGTTAATAATTGGTTATGTCTATGTAATCCGGAGTGCTTTTTATTCATTTTTTTCTACTTTCCTATAATTTCCACATTTTCTATAATGCGTAGTTTTGTAATGGAGGGGGAAAGTGTTTAAAAAACACTTATTAGGTGTATATCCTTTTCAAGGAAAGCTTCTATATTTGATTTGATGTCAAATCAAAATATAATCTCAAAATCAAAAGAAAGATTTTGCATCAAGCTAAGAGGAATCATATGAACTGTGGTCACCAAAAGTATTTTACTGTCTTTTGTGTGACTCAGTGAGTGAAAAGAGCAGCAATGCCTGACCTAAGGGTTAGGTTAGGACAGAGGAGAGATCTGGGCTTTGGTTAAGCCTTTCTGCCATCAACCAACACTGTGATTTTGCCAAGCCACTTACCTCCTATTGCCTCCACTTAAGAGCTCAATTTCCATATATGCAGAATGAGGAGCTTGGACTGGGTATTGTTTGAAAACATTCCAGCACTAGCGGTCCGAATAAACACCAAACAAATATATAAACTAAACATAGTATGGATAGTCTCTGAAGCCAAAGGGTAAATGCATCTTAAAAAGTGGCAAATCCAGAGGCAATCAATGTGCTTCGTGTTTAAGGATAATTACCACCACATTTCCACCACGCTTTTACCATTACTTCAAGGGTTGTAAATAAAGGCTCAGAGTTTAGCAGAGAGAATAAAGTTCAAAGTGAAGGGAAAATTCCATCCTCCTTGACTAGTTCTCATATGGTTCTCAGATTTCAAATCTGGGACCCTTCAGAAGAAGCAGTTCAGCCGATTTTAGCTGCCATAAGGGAACAAAGTGAAAGATGAAACCTCTAACATAATTAAGGTTTTAATCAGCACTGAATAGATTTAATTCAACATTTCAACTACGCTTTGAAGCAAACAAATGATATGGCAGGAAACTTGGGTCTATTGCCCCCTCGGTCACTAACCACTTGTGTGAGATTGGACAAGTCACTTAATTTATTTGGGCCTTATCAATTAAAAACAGGAGCGATGCTGATACCTTACGTGCCTGCCTACAAACAGGGGACTGGACCATATGCTTTCTTGGGGTCCTTGAAGCTCAGGGCTCTAAGACTCCATAGAGCTGATGCAAGCAAGGGAGCTTAGACCTCGTAAATGGTCTTCATGATGAAATCGCCAGGAACCAATTTCAATTTTTTGTTAATTTTCTAAAGTAGCTTTTCTTGCCAGACCAGACAAATTCAATATACTTAGCTAGGGAGTCTAAGATACATATAAGCTATCACTATTCTAAATCTCCTTTTGGCAAAGTATCTACCTTAGGAAGCATTTAGACTTTAGGTGAAACTTCTAAGGGGGAGGAGGTGAGAGGGAAGAGTCTGTGAGTATTATAATGGAATCCAGCTGGCACAGACATAACATACCTCCTCTTTTCCACCTAGAGCTGATATAGCACTCAGTCTAGCTGACCATTGCTAGCCCAGTGCTCTGGTGGTGGTTTGATTAATCATCAGCCAGGTATTAATGGCCAGCAAGGATTCCGTGTCAGCAATTTATAAGAGCTCAGTTACTCATAATATGTTGGAGCATCATGGTCCTGACAAAGTGAGCTGTCTCATGCCTACGAGGATGGCATTTTCTTCTACTACTAGGTTGTCTACAGTGGTGACTTCAGTTCTGTTTAGCTCAGTTCTGCAGCTCATTCCACGCAGAGAGTGTATTGCCCCATTCTAAAACCCCCAAAAGGCTACAACATGTATCCTATAAATACACCTTTTTTTTTTTCAATCTGTGATTAGAATTACATGGCTACAAAAGGAATTTGGAGGTCATTAACCAGTAGGGAAGTTTATCCCAGCATTACACAGCATATGGGCAAACTGCAAACAACCTAAATACTTCAAAATTGCAGATTTGTTATGGTGCAACCACAAGACAAAATCATGCAGTCACTAAGAGTACTGCTGCGTGAATGTAATTTGAAGAAGTGTTACACTATAATATTGTTTTAAAAAACAGAATATGGGCCGGCCGAGTGGCTCAGTTGGTTAAGAGCTCGCTCAAGAGTGTGAGCTCTGAGCAACAGCGGTTCGAGTCCAGCCCGAGCTGAGCAGCCGCTGAGCTGCCAACAGGTAGCAGGATGGCTCAGCTAAAAAACAAAACAAAAAATAAAACAAAACAAAAAAAACAGAATATGAAAAACGGTATATACTATAATATAATGCCTACCATGTAAGATCAAAGACAGGGAGATGGAGAGAGGTATATTGGGATAAAGAAAAAGCAAAAAACTAGAACATACTCCAAAATGTTAACAGTAGTTATCTCTAAGAAATAGGATTATAGTAGTTTAAGTTTTCTTCTCCATCCTTTTCTACACTTTTGGATTCTCTAGAATGAGATTACATTATTTTTAAAACTAGAAAACAAACTTTTAAAAAGTAGCTTCATCACAGTAAAATGAATTTATTTTATGGAAAAAACCCTAGTATACAGTAAACATATTATTTTAAATGAAAAAGGATATCCTACCCAGATAGAAGCCCGAGAGAAGAACATCAAGACCAATATAATAACAAAATACCAAAGCAGGAAGCTCCCTATGGTCCCACAGGAGTCATCCTTCCGGCACTGATAATCTTGATTTGGAATGGTAAAACTTAAAGGTATGGGAGGAGGATCCACCTCCCAAAATAAGGAAAAAAGGTCTCCCATGATGGCTTCTGGTGTCAGAAATAAAACATGCTCGAAGGGATGAAGATGACTGGGAAGTACTTCACTCCATGTGTACGACAACTTCCTTGGCAACCTATTATGACATACACTTCAGCAACTATAACAGGAACTGACAAACACTTCTTGGATTTCTAATTTTGGGGAAGATTTATCTGCATTACCTCTATGAAAGTTTATGTTCTTTCCCCCATAACTTGATATAGTGTGTTCTGCCTTAATCTTTTTTTTCCCTGAAATATATATCTATAGTAGACCCTTAAACAATATCAGTTTGAACTGCACGGGTCCACATATATTAGGATTTTTTTCAACAAATACCTGTGCTGTTTTTGATCTGCATTTGGGAGCCCAAGGATGCAGAGCCGACTGTATGCATTGATCTACGCCATTTTATACACGGGACTTGAGCATCAGAGAATTTGTGTATCCCCAAGGAGTCCTGGAACCAAATCCCCATGGATACCAAAGGTAGTAAGTTTGGGGGTAGTCAAAATTATACTGGGATTTTCTACTGTGCAGGGGTTGATGCCCCTGTGTTGTTCAAGGATCAACTGTACTGTATTTTCTTTAAAGGCAGTATTTTAATGTCTTTAAAATCTAAGTCTGAAGTATTCATTTTTTTCAGTCTCTTTTGTATGTGTCATATCACTGTAAATTAACATACACAGTTCTAATGTGTTATAGACTGAACTTTGTCCCCCAAAATTCATGAGTTGAAGCCCGAACCCCCAATTTGACTATAATTAGAGACAGGGCCTTTGAAAAGGTAACTAAAGTTAAATGAGATCATAAGGATGGGGCACTAATCCAATATGACCAGTGACCTTACAAGAAAAGGAAGGGACCCCACGGATGTGCAAGCACAGAAAATAAGGCCATGTGAGGACAACAGAGAGGAGGCAGCCATCTTTAAGCCAAAAGAGACAAGCCTTAGAAGAAGCCAGTTCTGCTCCGTGAAATCTTGATCTTAGATTTTCAACCTCCAAAACTGTGAAAAAAATTAATTTCTGTTGTTTAAGCCACGCAGTCTGTGGTATTTTGTTATGACAACTCTAGCAAACTAATACATAATGCCAAAGATAAATCTAATTTGGGTAGTAGTGTTCTTTTTTAAGCCTTCAATAAATGCACAGTAATTTATACATCATATTAAGAGGAAAATATTAACGTGTATCTTGTGAATTACCTCAAATGTATACAATTTCTTTTTAGGAGTCAGTCATGGAGTGGTAGGAGCCTGGTATTCTCAATTTGCCTGTACATTGAAACCTTACACTTTGAACAATTTTCAAGTAGTTCATCTCTAAATCTAAAACTAGAGCAAAACACCATTGCTGCTAAGGCAATCTAAAAATTATTTTTAAATCTTACTTTAACCCTCCGAGGGGCACAACTGATCTCACAGATTCACTGCACACAAAGATGCCGCTTTGAAATACATCTTTACTGTACTAAGTCACAAACACGACTGGCGATAGGTAACGGTAGAGGGGGAAGATACAGACGCAATGAGTCATGATACTGTTAATTGTTAGATATTTGAAAATTTGTGTGCAATCTGTGAGATCAGTTGCTCCCGACGGAGGGTTAAAAAAAATCTTTTAGACTTTTAAGAACACAGTAACCTACAGATTTTCATTAATATGAAATACCAAGAGGAAACTTCATTTTCTTCTATTTCACCTTAGGACCATTTTAGGAAAATTTTTGATCTTTGGGACTTACATGATGTAACAATCCACTAGCATATTGTGGCATGGTGTGATGTTTTTATTAGGGGCACACTTCCCTGCATCCCCAAGGGCAAGTCCCCAGGTCCTAAGCATCCTGGCTGTTGCTTGCTGTCTGCCTTAGACCTGTGCAGCCTCCTCCAGGGAGCTCTCGAGGTAGCCCGAGCTGGGCCCATTGTGCCTCCTCCAGGCTCACTCGCCTGCGCCATCAATGACCTGCCAGCCTTCCCTGGGGCTGGCTGCTCCAGGCGGTAACCAGAGCTTTCGCATCCCCGAATGTGGCTCAGTGGCACACTGTAGGCGTTTGTATTTGTTAAATAAAACCAAACTGAACTCCATGGTGAACCTTTCCTCAGGATTAGAAGTTCTTCCCCCAAAATTCAGGAAAAGTGAAGATTGGGGTTTTTTTTAAAACCTCAAAACCACTAGCAACTTTAACACATTTTGGTTTTCCTTGTTGCTGCTGCACCCTCATTACACAGATATTTAAGAAATAACATCAAGCCTGGGCCAGCCGAGCAGCTCAGTTGGTTAAGAGTTGGCTTAAGAGTGTGGGCTCTGAGCAACGGGCCACAGGTTCGATTCCCACATGGGCCAGTGACACTGAGCCTGAGCTGAGCTGTCGCTGAGCTGCCAACAGGTGGCAGGATGGCTCAGCTGGTGTAACAAACTAGATTGCCTGTTTGACGGTGGGCTATGCCTACCTGCAACTAAGACTTAACTCAGCACCTTGAGCTGAGCTGCCACCCGAATGGCACAGTGGATAGTGTGCTCTTAACAACAAGGCTGCTGGTTTAACTCCTGCATGGGATGGTGGCTACGCCTACCCGCAACTAAGACTGAACACAGTACCTTGAGCTCAGAGGCCATGAGCTGCCGATGGGAAGCCAGATGGCGACTGGCACCCTCCACAATGAAGACTGAAGAACAACAACTTGGCTGGTCCCTCTCCCCAATTCCCCAATAAAATCTTTAAAGAAAAAAAAGAAAAGAAAAGAAATAACATCAGGTTAGAATACTTGATTTTTTTTTTTAACAGGTGTGAGAAATGCTCTGTCATTGCTAATGGTGTCTGGACACATTACCGCGTACTCTATCCTACAATTAGCCACCCTGCTTAATAAAATCAGCTTTAAAATGTGGGTACATAAACGTCCTAAGGAAGCTAAAATTATATTAATATATAGAAATCCAGTTTGTTATAGTTATTACTTTTTACTGCGGGTTCAGAATCTGGCCTGAGTTTTTGCTGCTCAGCTTTCTCCCCGCACCCAGAGTAGGAGCCACAAATCCTTGCGCTGTCGCCTTGGTAACGCTCTGAGCGCCCGTCACTCCTCCACCTTCCTCTTCTCGCGAGAAGAAATGGTCCGTTTTTCCGGTAACTGTAGACTCGCAAGCCTGTCACTTGCGCGCTAGCCTTTGACTTCGCGCATGTGCAGTAGAGAGTGGCGCGAGCCCGCGGCTTCCGGCCGAAGATCATGGTGCGTTTTCGGGGTCGCTTTTGTGCTTCCTGCACGCGGAATCCAGGCGGGCTGCCGGAGTTCCGCGCCTGCAGACCTGCAGAGGGTTCCGCCACTGGGGGATGTGGCCAGGCGTCCCGCCACCCGTAGTGGGACGGAGGAAAGAAGCAATAGGGGTTGCTCAAGTTTGTACTGGGAGAGCCGGGGAGGGAAGCTCTCCGGACAGGGGACTTGGACTCCGGCTGGGGGGCGGGAAGCGGAGTGCTCTGGTTCTCTATGGGATACAACTCCGTGTAAAGAGCAAATCTTACACTTGTCTGCAAGAGATGAGACCTAGCAAAACACAGGAAATATCCCAGTGTAGACCAAAACTGAATGCACACTTCCTCCCACTCGCCCTCCTCCCCTTCACACCATGAGCACGCGCCCTTCTAAAACGTAAATCCTGATACTTCCATCAGAAACACGAAACGGAGCTCGCTGGCGTGCATGGGTCCGAGTGCAGAGCTGTTTGAGATCGTAGGCAGTTAATGGTTTGTGCGCAAGGCTGTAGGAGAAGAGTCTTGAATGGCTTATAGCGTAAATGGAATATTTCCCCCCCAAAACTTAGTATTTTGAGTTTCGTAAGTTAGCCCTTGGACTAGTCCCTACGACATATTCTAAAACACAATACACAGTAATTGCAGACATAACTACCAACCCTTAAGTTCCAAAAGAAGACATTCTTATTTATTGGAAGTCATCAATTGGTTTTCATCACAATATGGTGCCAATAAAGTTATAATTTAGGGTTCCCTTTTCATGTACCAATATTAAAATGTAAACAATTTTGGAAAGGTCTTTTAAAGACGAGGGAAAAAGCATGTGCACTTTTTAGTTACCATTATAAAGGACACAAGTGTGATTTCTTAAATGGAATAGTTTCTTTTGATTAATTCTTGTGCTTTCTGTTTTTGAATAGATGCAAGGGGACCCAAACCTTAGTGCTTCCCTTATTGACAGAACCATCAAGATGAGAAAAGAAACAGAAGCTAGGAAAGTTGTTTTAGCCTGGGGACTCCTAAATGTATCTATGGCTGGAATGATATATACTGAAATGTAAGTTAATTAGAAAAAAAAAAAAGTGAAAATGTAAGAGGCCAATGATTGGTTCTACAGGTTTTTGTGTGTGTTTGTTTTGCCTTTTTTTTTTTTTTAAGACAATTGAAAATCCTTTCTAATTTTTTCAGGACTGGAAAACTGATTAGTTCATATTATAATGTGACATACTGGCCCCTCTGGTATATTGGTAAGTAATTAAGTTTCACTGTGATGGAGAGTTACTACCAATGAGACACTGCATCAGTTTAATTCAATTTAGTATTCATGCCTTCAACAAATATTTGAGTGCCTACTATGTTCCAAAAATGGAATGCAGCAGAAGGGGTCCCTGCCCTCATGGAAGGAACATTCTAGTGAAAGAGAGGATCAAATTAAACAGTACATTCTAGGTAATAATGAGTTCTGTACAGAAAAATAAAGTTTGGGGGTGGTGAGATTTGTATTTGTTACTCTCCCTGAAATGCCTTCCTTACTTGTCTACCTTTCACCTTTTAACACCAACCAGATTTCTGTTCCATTGATGCCTTCCCCAGCCTCTTCGTTTCTTCCTCTCCTCCGTCTGCTTTTGTCTGCTCTTTAGTGGTCCTTGAGTATAAAGAGTCCCAGTGGTAGTTAAAGTAAATTCCGTAGCCTAATATACACATTAATCTAAAGTCTGTGATAGAGGTGGTGTGACAAGTAGCAGAGCAAGAAAAAGTAGAATCTGCATACCTGAGTTAGAATTGTGGCTTTAATAACTAGCTGTGTTTCTTGCAAACGTCACTACAATTGTTGATTGATCTTTAAAATGGACGTGAAAGTGTTTATTGTACAAGTTGTAAGGATTAACGGTAATATTTTGAAACTCAACTAGTAAGTGGCCTACACATAATAGACATTCATTAAATGGTAACTGTTATTAGGAATAAGAAGATTGTTTTCAATTTTGTTGTTAATTTGCTATAAAGTATGAAGAGTTTTGTTTCCTCCCTTTCATTGTTCTACCCTCCCACTCTTTTTTTTTTAATAAATTTTTGTTCTCTTATAGAGCTTGCCCTTGCATCTCTCTTTAGCCTAAATGCCTTATTTGATTTTTGGAGATATTTCAAATATACTGTGGCACCAACAAGTCTGGTTGTTAGCCCTGGACAGCAAACACTTTTAGGGTTGAAAACAGCTGGTAAGTGTTTTACATCTTTTGCAAAGGTGGGGAAAAGGTTGGCAATAAATCTTTCTCAATTTAATTTTCCCTTTTCAGAGACTTAGCTGGAAGGGACTTAGGTCATCTCGTTCAACTATATTAAATAAGTCTACAATAGTCTTCAGGCCAATGATTATCATTCCTATTTGTATAAGTTGAATGGAACTAGCATTCAACAGCCTCATGAAAGTTTGTTCCATTATTTTATTACAATTAAAATTAACTTTCTAACTCTTGCTGCATTGAAACTAATTTCTTATTTTGCATTCTGTGGAAATGGTAAACAACTAATTTGTATCTTTTGGTAACAATACTTTTGTAACTAAACACCCAAGTTACTCTATTACATTCCCTTTTCCTGAAGAAAATCAGTCAGTTTGTTAAATCTGGCTTCATAGAAATTTTATTTATACACATTTTATTTAATGCTATTTATTTGTTTATTACTTCTAGTTGTACAGACTACGCCTCCACGTGATCTGGCAGCAACCCAAGTCCCTCCCTCTCCGCCTTCTCCTTCAATTCAGGGGCAGAGTGTGTTGAGTTATAGCCCGTCCCGTTCACCCAGTACCAGCCCCAAGTTCACCACCAGCTGTATAACTGGATACAGCCCTCAGCTACAAGGTCTGTCATCAGGTGGCAGTTCTTATAGCCCTGGAATGACATACTCGCCCATCAGTGGTTATAATAAGGTAATGACTCTTTTCTCTTGACCAGCCATATTATTTTAGAATTGGGAAGTACCTTGAAAATCTAGTGGGCTGAAACTCCTCATTTTATCAATGAAGAAACCAGGGAACAGTGAGTAATTCACTTGCCCAGATCTCCCATTTAAGAGCCAAGAATAGAACCCAGATTTCCAGACACCTAATAACAAATTCTTTCTATCACATCTTAAAATGAAAGAAAGATGTTAACTTTTGCAAAGATAATGAACTGAGGTTCAACACCTAGAATTTTTCTGCAGGATCTTTAAAACAAGTTGAAACTGTGATAATGTTTTACTTTAGTTTCCTTTACTCATGTTTTCCCTTTTTCTGTGCTGCTTTATGTGAAACTTATAGAATTTTAATGCTTTTCATCATGTTGGAATATCTTTTAAGCTAAAAGTTGGATTGGCAAGTAGTTTGACTCTTGGGTGTGGACACTCTCCACGGGATGATTAGAAATTCTTCATTCCGCTCCCACAGCACAGTGGGCTTTTGTTCTAATTTTTAGGTATGATAGAAGCAAAATTAACAAATTTGAAATTGTGATTCCTGCCTGAAGCGTAAGACTATAAGAGGCGCATTAAAAAGGGAGTGGTCACGTTTTCAGATGCCCTCACTCACTAGCTAGAGTAACATCTCTATAGCTACTAATTAAATGAGGAATATCTGGAAATGAAATCAACACAGCCTGCCCTTACTGTTTTATATAATATTTCTTTGTAATGAAATTCCATACTACTGCTTACTTGATAATAATTTTGGCAAGTAATAGAACTTAGAAAATTTTGTGCAAGTTAAATATATATATAGTGATAATTCATAGGTAAATATGAATCTGTGCTAAATCGGTTTGTACATAGAGTTCATAACATTGCTTAATTATCTTTTTTCAACTAGAGCAAGGTTTTCAACCTTGAGCACGAGATTATGTGTTTTCATTCATCTTTATTTCCTTAGCATGGCGTATGGAATATAGATGCTATAAAAATGTTTGTTGAACTGAACCTAATACCTTGGAAAAGTTAATGAAATGAATAATTATTTTTCTGGGGAAAAAATTGCCAAAATTGACTAAGAAGTAGTACACCTAAATAAATCAAGGAATAAAGTTTAAAACTGTTAATCAAATACCTCAGAATACATCAGGGCCCTGAAGTTTTCCCATTGAATTCTTTTAAATTTTCAAGTAACAGTTACTTTTAAAACATTTAATTATGGAAATGTTCAAACATACACAAAAATGAAGGGACTAATGCAATGAACTCCTGTGTATCTATTTACCCATTTTCAACAATTATCAACATTTTGTTACTGTATGAACAGGTAATTCTGATTCAATAAAACATTAAAAGCATTAAAAACATGTAAAAAGCATTTTCTAGAGTCAGAAAACTGGTTTGAAATTTTGGTACAATCTTGAACAAGTTACCTAACCTCTCATATCTAAAATTAATACAGTAATAATATTTGCCTATTGAGAGGATGAAATAAGACAATATGTATTGAGCATAAAATATGATGCTCCTTGAGCAAGAATAAATCAATTTATGAAACAAGAGACTAAATATAGTCATAGTACATAAGGATTTAATATGTTCATTGAAATAAAATAGAAATCAATGTGGAAGAGAATGAACATTTTTATTTTCAGATAGCATTAAGCAATTATGAGATTTGTTAATCCTTAATTTATTACAACCAAGAATAAATTGATCATGAAACCCTAGCAGAAAAAAATTTGTCAATGTACCGGAGTAAACAATTGATAACATAGGTAATACTGGGGATCTGAAATTGTGTTTATCAAGTGTTTAACTTCAAAAGTATAAGCAAATGCTAATTAAATATATATATTTTACAAATTCTTCTAAATCAGATAAGCATATTTTAAAATAGCAGTGTTGATGGACATATGCCAAAGTAGGTGCTTGTCCTCTTCTGATAGTAGTGTAACTTAACTACCCTGGCGGTAACCCCGAGTGTGGCTCGGGGTTAATTTTCACTGCCAGAATCGGTAACCCCGAGCCACACTCGGGATTACACTGCAGTGTCCCAGAGAAATCCCTTACCTGTTCCCTGCGATCCTGCGGTGTCCTCCTGTGATTGCCGACGAGAACGCCGGCCGATGACAAATTGCAGTTTTTTATTTGATTACATTATTGAATAAAATTATATTATTTTTTATAATTATTTATTATAACATGATTTTGTGTTTCAAACTTTATCATACCTGGGATGCCTACTAGACTCTTGTTTGGACAGATTTAAGTGAGTAATTCCTAAGAATTACAGGCCTACAATATAAAACAACAAATTTCCATGCAAAACAATGTACCGCTTTGGGTACAAAATTACTGACATAATCAGACCGCCAATGAAACATTTTCATTGAATAGAATGGGAATATATATTAAAAATGTTCATATGCTTTGATCAAATCATTTCGGTTCTAGGACTCTCCTAAAGGAAGTCATCGAATTAAGCAAAGATTTGTGTACAAAGATGTTAATCATAACATTATTTACAGTAGCCAAAAATGTAGACAATCCAAGTCTAAAATAAGAGAAAGTAAGAATAAATTATGGCATATTGTACAATGAAATACTATACAGCCAGTAAGTATGATATTTATAAAGGATTTTTATAGGAAAATTCTTGGGTAACTAAATAAAACTATAATAATATTGTGTTATTTATGTGAAAACAAATATATTGACATAGCTAAGTATATTTACAAATATTAAAATACATAAAATATGAAAAAGTATTGTTTTCTCTCTGGGTGATAGAGTTGTAAGTGTGACTTCTTTTTTTCATACTTCTCATTTTTTAAAATATACATATATTACTTTTATTAAAAAACAGACTTTATTTTTAGAACAGTTTTAGGTTCACAGCAAAATTGAGAGGAAGGCACAGATTTCCCGTATACCCACTGCCCCCTTAGTCACCCCCCACCCCCTTCACCCACAGGCACAGCCTTCCTGACTGTGAACATCAGGCACCAGAAGGGTCCATTTGTTACAATTAATGAAGCTACATTGACAGGTCATTATCACCCAAGGTCCATAGTTTACGTTAGGGGTCACTCTTGGCGGTGTACATTCTGTGGATTTGGACAAATATATAAGCACATATGTCCACCCACCATTATGGTATACAGAGTATTTTCACTGCCCTAAAAATCCTTGTGCTCTACCTATTTATCCTTCCCCCCACTCCCATCCCAACCCCTGATAACAACTGATCTTTTTACTGTCTCCATAGTTTTGCCTTTTCACAATATCATATAGTTGCAGTTGTATTATATGTAGCCTTTTCAGTAAGTACTACTCATATGCATTTAAGTTTCCTTCATGTCTTTTCATGGCTTGATAGCGCATTTGTTTTTAGCACTGAATAATATCCCATTGTCCAGATATACCACACTTTATCTATTTACCCACTACAGGACATCTTGGTTGCTTCCAAGTTTGGGCAATTATGAATAAAGCTGCTATAAACATCTGTTTTCAGGTTTTTGCGTGGACATAAGTTTCAGCTCCTTTGGATAAATACCAAGGAGCACAATTGCTGATCAGATGGTAAGAATATGTTTAGTTTTGTAAGACGCCACCAAACTGTCTTCCAAAGTGGCTGTGCCACTCTGCATTCCCACCAGCAATGAATGAGTTCCTGTGGCTCCAAATCTTCCTCAGCATTTGGTGCTATCGGTGCTCTGGATTTCAGCCATTCTAATGGGTGTGTTACTTTTTGAAAGTCAGAAACCAAAACGAAAATAAATTTCAACGAAAAATAAAATAAAGTTCTTTTGTTTTGTATAGTTGGTGAGCTATAGTCCCTCTCCTCCTTCTCCATACCCTACCACTGTGGGCCCTGTGGAGAGTGGTGGACTGAGATCTCGCTACCGTTCTTCACCTACTGTCTATAACTCTCCTACTGACAAAGAAGACTACATGACAGACCTACGAACATTGGATACTTTTCTTCGAAGTGAAGAAGAGAAACAGCATAAAGTTAAGCTGGGTATGTATTTATCTTATTTTGATCATTTTATATATATATATATATATATATATATATATATATATATATATATAAATATATAAAATATATATATATATAAATATTATATAATATATGTAATATATAATGGGTTGTCGGAAAAGTCATGACGCATGTTTGCGACAGGTGGCACTAGTTCATTTTTGGAAGTACTAGAGTCATTCGCATCTATATTATTGCTATGTCATTTAACAGCTGACAGTTCTAGCTTCATTGTAAAAAAATTGAGCGATTTGACTGAGTTTTGGAGATTTTACAACAATTGAAGATGGAAGACCAAATTCTGCATTTTTGCCATATTTTACTGTTTTACTTCCATAAAAGGAAGAACATGTGTCAGGCTTGTGAAAAGTTGCATAAAGTTTACGGTGAATACAAGAACGTCAGTGCCAACAGTGGTTCACGAAATTCCGTGCTGGTGATTTTGATCTCAATGACACTCCTCGGTCAGGGAGGCCCACCGAGGTTGATGACGACAAAATAAAGGCATTGATCGAGTCAAACCCATTTTATACGACACAAGAGAATTGTAGAAACATTGAACATCCATCATTCAAGCATTCACGACCACCTGAAGAAGCTGGGATACGTAAGCAAGCTCGATGTTTGGGTTCCCCATGAACTCCAAGAAGTTCACTTGATGGCGCATATAAACACCTGCAGTATGCTCATTAAATGTGAGGAAAACGATCCTCTTTGAAGTGACTGATAACTGGTGATGAGAAGTGGATTGTTTACAACAATGTGGTGCGCAAACAGTCTTGGTCCCAACGTGATGATTTGCCTCAAACGACATCGAAAGCAGACATTCATCAGAGGAAGGTTACACTCTTAGTGTGGTGGGATTTTAAAGTTGTGTTTTTCGAGCTCCTACCAAGGAACCAAACAATCAATTCGAATGTGTACTCTCAACAATTGGACAGTTTGAACAAATCTGTCATCCAGAAACGTCCAGAGCTTGTTAATTGTAAAGGAGTTGTGTTCCATCGCGACAACGCAAGACCATACACAAGTTTTTTCACCCGTCAAAAATTCTTGGAGCTTGGATGGGATGTGTTGCCACACCCACCATACTTGCCTGCCCTTGCTCCATCACACTTCCACTTGTTTCGCTTTCTTAAAAACTCCTTGTGCGGTATAACGTTCAATTCAGATGAGGCTGTAAATCAGCACCTTGTTCAGTTTTCCACAAATAAAGACAGGTCCTTCTATGAAAGAGGAATTATGAAGCTCACTGAAAGGTGGCAAAAGGTTATCGAACAAAATGAGCAATATATCATTGATTGATCTTTGTTCTTTATATAAATAAATGATCTTTGAAAAACAGACAAAATACGTCATGACTTTTCCAACAACCCAATATGTGTGTGTGTGTGTGTGTGTGTGTGTGTGTGTGTGTCACTCTACGTTATCGTTAACCTATTATTTTCATTACTTTGATTACACCTGTACATAGTTGTTTAAGTCCCTTTTACCAATTTACTTTGTGTAGCTTAGGAGAGAAATAGATTTTGTTTTTATATTTTATGCAGTTAGAATTAAGTTCACTAAATTGAAGAAGTAAATGTAGCTGGACTAATAGAAATCTTGAACCTTTCATCTTCATTAAGATTGAAAGCTTTTTCTTATAATGTAAGTTATGACTTCTATTTAAAAGTTAAGGCTATCAAATGTTTTTTGAAGTGGTGCATAGCAAAGCTCATTGAAATGATAGTTGTCTCCTTTCCGGTGCTCCTTGGGAAGGTGGATGTGGCCAGGAAGGATGAAGGACAGAGCATGGATTTACTCTAGAAGAAGCTGCTGTTTTTCAGAACATTTTCGAACTGATCTTTCGTTTACCTTGGGAAACAATGTTAGCAAATCTTCTATTTGGGGTGGATTTGATTATTACAAAGTCAATTTGAAACCAAATTAGGTTATTGAGCAGAGTAATGATTTTTCCCCCTTAGGAACTTTCGCAGAAAGCACATTAGATGCTAAAGCATGGCCACAATGAGGAAGTCAGATATTGGACCATGGTTCTTTGTGTCACTTAAACCTCTCCATTGATTTTTAATATAATTTTGCCTGAAGTGCCCCAAAATGTCAAAGAAACAAATCAATATTATCTTGTTATTTGTCAATAGATGCTTTTTCTTTTTAAATTTTGAAATATTTCAAGTGTACTGAAAATTATAAGGTATAATACGAAGAACAACCTCTTTACTCTCTGTATGTCTTTGTCATATCTCGATTTTCTCTGACTTCCATTTTTATTGGGCTGTCGGAAAAGTCATGAGGCAGTTTTGCAACGAAAAACAGAAAAAATACATCATAACTTTTCCGACAACCTAATATTTCTTCTTTGACTTAGAGGAGTTATTTAGAAGTAGTGTTATTATTGTTTGGAAGTATTATTGGTGATTGGTGTTACTTTTAATATCTAAACCTATGAAATGAAAGGCTTGGGTATCTTATTATTGTACTGTGGCTAGAGATTCTGATATGTACCATATTAATTTTTTGGTGTGGTTTTTTTTTTTTTTGAGACTTGCATTTAGGCCTGCTATGTGATTACTTTTTATAAATGATTCTTGGCATATTGAAAAGAATGCATAATCTCTAAATATTGGGCTCCATATTTGTTCATTTAGTAAGCTTCTTGGTGGTGGTCTTAAATTATCTTCTTAATTTTTGTCCACTTGATCTATTAGTTAACTAAGAAAGTATATTAAAAGCTCCCAGTGATTGTCTCCTATTAAGTGTCGCCTCATAATTCTGTCCAGTTTGCTAAATATCTGTGAGATTATGTTAAGTGCAGGTAAATTCAGAATTGTTAATATCATTGTGGGCAGTTATTCCTTTTATCTTTATCTCTTAGGCTTTTTGCTGTCAAGTCTATTTTGTCTGACATTAGCACAGCTGTACTATTGTCTTTTAATAAACATTTACCTGGTACATCTATGTTTAATCCCTATACTTTTAATCCTTCTGTGCCCAGAGGTTTTAGGTAATTAAGTATTTCATACACATTAATTTGTAAATAATAAGTATTTTATGAGGAGCTCTTTGAGACTATGTAAATATCCTCTTCCTCATCAAAGTTTTACTTAACTAGTTTTAACATCCTTTTGAGATTCTTTTCATAATTAACTATGACCATGTTGGTTGTCATAGTGGCTTTCTAATTCTGTCATCCCTTCTGTATTTCTTTTATGTTTAAACTTTTTTTGTGGTAAAATATACACAAGATTTATCATTTTACCCATTTGTCAGTGTATAATTCAGTGGTATTAAGTACATTCACATTGTTGTGCAGCCGCCTTTTATATTTATTTGTTGATGTTCTACTATAAGATGGATCTTTTTCTTCTCAATTATGTCATTTATTTTGATGGTTGTTAGATTGTCTCAGATTTGGCTAGTGGGATTTAACTTTATACCAGCTGTGACATTTCTTTACTGTATATAATTATTTATTTTTATGTTAGCCTGAAACATTACTAGTGTTCACCTAAGCTGCTAGCATAAGACTGGCCAACCTTCAAGGTTTTGATCCTGTGGATTGAAACTGCCACATATTCCTTTCATGATTTCTCATCCTTTTCGCCTGTAACTAAACATCGTAAGCAAACCAATTTTTTTTTATACTCACTTCTCTTAGAAATTCTAAGATTTTAAAAAACTTGTTTCTATTTGTGAGTTTTGTGTGTGGATATGAAGTATTAATTGATATTTTGATATCAGTTAAACTCTAAAAAAATAAGCCCTTCCTAAATATCATATAATTGTCTTTGAAAACTTGCTCTTTACTCAGATGCTGTGCTAGATGCTCGGGCAACAAACACTTCCTGCCCGCAAGGAGCTCAAACTCTATTTGGGAAAAGAGATAAACTCTGACCTTAAAATGTGACAATTTGTCTGATAGAGGCCTCTATAGGATTAAGTCCCTTATGTAACTATTTGCATTTCCTAAAAGTAAGTTTCTAAATTTAGAAGTGTAATCAGCAGAGAGTCTCTTTTCATACGACACAGGAATTACTGCAGGCTCTGACTAGAGCGCGGAGTACAGAGGGAGGCGGGAGTTCAGCTGCTAGCCCAGAGAGGAGTTTATTAATAAGAGGCTGCAGTTAGCCCATCCACAAAGAGCTGCTAAACGTTCAAGCAGGGAACTTCCTTCGCCTATTTATTTCCTGAAGAAATTTGTCTTTTGTTTCTCACTGAATCATTTGAAAGCCTTAGAGAATGAAAGAAGCCTAGTTTTACAACAAAAATAAACACTTTCAACCACTTAGCGTTCATATGGCTCTTAAATGGATACTGCTCAGAAATGTTAACTTTTTACACAAATAGTCCACGTTCTGGAAAGAACAGATAATGCCGGGAAGGCGGGAGGAGAGAAGCCCCTTGAGCTTTGTCTTCCTTGGTCACTGCTGCCTCTGTGCCCAGACAGCCGCTGTTCATGTGCTGATTCTCGATGTCGAAATGACCACAACATGCTGATACTCTGCATGAATCCTTGTAGGGAGCCCAGATTCTACCTCACCTTCCACCAGCCCGACTTTCTGGAACTACAGTCGTTCTGTGGGGGACTACGCACAAACGTTAAAGAAGTTTCAGTATCAGCTTGCCTGTAGGTCTCAGGCCCCATGTGCTAACAAAGATGAAGCCGATCTCAGTTCTAAACAAGCCGCAGAGGAGGTAAATTGTTGATAATGATTTCATATTTATGATTCACAGATTGTTAGAAAGTCTTTGCTACTTCTGGAACTTTTTTTTCCCTGTAACCTCTACTTTTACTGACTAGAAACATGAATCTGGTACACATTAAACAGTGGACAGGGGGTGACCGATTACCTCAGGTGGTTAGAACATGGTGCTGATAACACCAACGTTGCCAGGTCGATCCCCGCATGGGCCACTTGGAGCTGCTCCTACCCTAAAAGAGTCAACTATGCCATTGTAGCATAAAAGCAATGTGTGACCAATGACCGTGGCTGTTCCTCAATAAAATTAAAAAAAAAAAAAAAAAGTGGACAGGCTCCTATCTGTGTGTACCTAAAACAGAATTATAGTGTGTGTTTTACTCTTTAGGACACATAGTTGACATGCATGTCCTGTCTAAAACATTTTTCTGCATTCATTTATAGGTATCTCAAATATTAATTTGTACTTAACATATATAAGACCCTTGCTTTTAAAATATATTTGGATTAGAACACTTGACAGTCTGTAACTTCATCAGTTTAAGACCAAATACAAGATTTTAATTTTGGTCTTAAAAGCAAGACGAATGTTCTTGAAACATACCAACATAGGGAATTTTAAAGATATGTCGGCATGAATAGCAACCTAGTACATAATAAGAAAATTATTGCATAATAATTAGATCATTATTGATGTTTGTGAAATTTTTTTTTCAGAGTATTCCAATTATTATTATTATTATTTTTTAAGATTTTATTAGGGAATTGGAGGAGGGGAACAGCGCTGGGGAATTGGGGGAAGGGGAACAGACAAGTTGCTGTTGTGTTGTTCTTCAGTCTAATTGTGGAGGACGTTGCTTCACTGGCCCAAGCTGGCACCATCATTGCACTCTTCCCGGGGGAGGCAGATCAGTTGCAGGCCTCTGGACGGCCGCTCACCGCAGCTGCTGGCCGCTCACTCTGGCCGCTGGCTACACACGGTAGCCCATGGCAACCCACCTGCCGTCGCCGGCAACTCATGGCAGCCCAGCTCCAGGTTGAGCTGTTGTTCAGCATCTTAGCTGTAGAGGGCAGTGTCACTGGCCCTCATATGTGGGATCCGAACCGGGGCCCTCTGGCATCCCAAGCCAGTTCTTAACCAATGCACCACTTGGCCAGCCCTCCAAATATTTTTGAGGATGGAGGAAAGAATGACTGATTTCTGGCAAGATATTTTTCCTCGCTGATTGTTCATTTTAAACATATTTTTAATAGGTTTGGGCAAGAGTAACTATGAATAGACAACTTCTTGATCACATGGATTCATGGACAGCTAAGTTCAGAAATGTAAGTTTGACATTACTCTTTAGACAGTACTAGTGCCTTTTAGTATGCAAAGATATTTATTTATAATAATATTTTTTATATTTATTTATAATAATGTTTATAATAGTATTGCATATTAGAATATCAGATGTTAATTAGATATCAGAATTATTAAATGTGCAATGTGGATAGCACATATATAAGGATAAACATGACATTTACTTTATTGTGTCCATTTTGATGGGATTTTTTTTCTCTCCATGTTTAGTAAATTAGTGTATTTTGAGTAAAGGAACAATATATTTAATTATTAAGATCTTAATCGCTTTCCCAGCAGCTCAATTTTATTTTTCAAAGAGTTTTTATGTCAGAGTATATTATGTGTCTAGAAACGCGAGGGAAACATAAATGAAGTCCTTGCCCTCAGAAAACTTCAGTTAGAGAAGATAATATGTGCTGGAAGCTACGTCAGAATATATCAATTTATTTGATTTTTCTAGAGAAGAACCCTCCCTGTCTTTGGCCTAGAGGTTGGGAAGGCCAACTCTTCATGTACAGAGTGACTTAGTCCCCTGATTTCCACCCTGCCTTTTCCTCTCGCTCTCTGTGGCCCCAGGTTCTGGTGGACAAGTTGGCCCCTCCGCCCCTACAGGTAGCTCCACCTGGATTCTGTAGAGGCTGCAGTTTCTCCCCATTTCTGCCTGCAACTGTCATCCATCCACTCTGCATCTTCTAGAGATATGTTGAAATCACTTTTACTTCTTTTTAAAAAATTCTTTTACTATAATTTAAATAAGGTATCAAGAGGGAATGGCAAAAAATAGCAGCCTACTTTCTTGAACCAAAAGCCTGAATGGCTATTTAAAAATAAAAATTCTTGAGCCCTAGAACTACTCAATCAGACTTTCTGGGAACGGGGCCTCCATCTTTCTCATGGACCCCTTAGATCATTTTGTTGCAGCCAAAGAGTGGTTGGCAAGTCGAATGCATTTAGTAAAAGTTGGAAGAATGAATGAGTGAAATGAAGTCCTAGTCTTACAGGTTTGTCTAAATGCTAATATATTTAAAATATAAAGTCTTGGGAGCTTTTGAGATCTTGCTCTTAAACACATGTTATCAGTTTGGCTCAAATAAACTCTTCCAAAAATTCAATATATAGTCTTGATTAGGAGTATTAGCTTGAAGAAATATAAACACAATCCCTTATCCAAATTCCTTAAGATACAATATTCTGAAATAGAGGGGTTTTTTTTAATTTTTAAAGGAATTGAAGGCATAAATATTTCATCTTTTATTCATCCATTCATTTTTATAGTTAAGCAGAAGCATGGAAACAGAAGTGGTGGAAGTTGCTACAAACAAACACACACAAAACATATTACACACAAACAAAGCAGATGGGGTGTTTCGTTAAACAGTCTTTTCATTTCCCAGAATTAGTTTGATATTAGCCATGCAAAGTGGCATTTGTAATTTCTAGTCCTAAAGTAATATGGTAATACTCACAATCCAGTTTCAAATATAATACATCTGTTTTCTACATGGTTAGGAAATTTGGTGAGCCTGCTGAGAGTTAATCAATTATGTTAGCTTGAAAAATTGTCTTACTAATTACAAACCAATAAAAACGCTACATGAATAAATGTGAATAATTACCCTAGAAACGTAAACCAAAGATTATCCTTTTAGCTAAGTATAATAGTTATAGAAACATGTAAGAAAAACTTAACGTGTAACTGAAAATTTTATATTTTATTCAGAAAAAACAGGCATGTGTGTGATTTAAGACTATAACTAGGTTTACTTACACTCCAGTAGTGTATTTACTTAATTCTCTCTAGACTTCAGGTAACTGCTCCTTCCATCTCTGTCACAGAAATTAACATTTCTGTTAATATTCAAGTCCAAGACAGTAAAAAAAATCTTAGCGTTTTATGAATAGTTGTTTGAGAAATGCTTTCAAATTACATGTGCAAAATATTTACCTCATTTCTTCTTAGTGGATCAATGAGACAATATTAGTGCCTCTTGTACAAGAAATTGAGTCTGTCAGCACGCAGATGAGACGAATGGGTTGTCCAGAGCTGCAAATAGGAGGTATGTGAAAATAGAGCCCAACATTTGACTTACTTTCAGTGAATCTGCCAAGTGAGAAATGTCTTCTTGTAGTGGGCTATTTAACAACTTCCTTTATCTTGAGGTGAAGAAAAAAACTAAATGTCTATAATATCGTTTTTTTATATAAGTTATATTGAAATGTAATTTACTTAACCATACAGTTCACCCACTTAAAGTCTACAGTTCAAAGGTTTGGGTCTGTGCAGCCACCACCACAGTCAAATTTAGAATATTTCATCACCCAAAAAAGAAACCCCACATGCCTTTAAGCAGTCACCCCACCGATTCCCCAGCCCAAGGCAACTACCAACCTACTTTCTGTCTCTATAGATAGGCCTGTTCTTGATATTGCATATCAGTGGAATCATATAATACGTTGTCCTTTGTGACTGGCTTCTTTCACTTAACATAATAGTGTTTTCAGGGTTCATCTATGTTGTAGTTTATCAGTACTTCGTTTCTTTTGCCAAATAATATCCCATTGTATGGTTCTACCACACTTTCTTCACCCATTCCTCAGTTGATTGGCATTTGGGTGGTTTTCACTCTTTGGCTGCTATAAACAGTTGTGTACAAGTGTTTGTGTGAAACTATGTTTTAATTTCTCTTGGGTATTACCTAGGAGTAGAACTGCTATTGATGTATGGTAACTCCATGTTGAACCTTTCAAGGAACTGCCAGACTTTTTTCTAAAGTAGCTGCACCATTTCACATTCCCACCAGTTACCATGAGGGTTCCAATTTCTACATCCTCGCCAATACTTGTTATTCTCCATCTTTTTTATTATAGTTATCCTAATGGGTGTGAAATGTTATCTCACTGTGGTTTTGATTTGCATTTCCCTGATGACTAATGATGTGCTTTTCATGTGCTTATTGGCCATTTGTATGTCTTAGGAGAAATATCTTTTCATGCCCTTTACCCATTTTTAAATTGATTGTTAATTACCTTTTTGTTATTGAGTTGTAGGTATTCTTTATATATTCTGAATACAAGCCTCTTAATCAGATATTGATTACAAAGTTGTACAAAGCATAAAAAATATATAACTGCTAATTTAAAAAATCACCTATTTTCAACTCTCTTATCTGCTAAAAATAAAACTGGTAAGGTTCTGTATAATATAATTTGCCTAAAATATATATACTGTTAACTTATTTAGTGTTAAGTAATTAGGTTTCAAAATAAGTTAGGAACATTTTAGTCAGCCAGCTCTTTCTAGAAAATAAATTTTTCCTTGAAATGCGTTAAGTGCTTTGGTTTGCACATTAGCATGTTCCACTTGTTTTGGTATCTTTTAATCAGTCTTTATTCTCTGGACTAAGAATAGAATTATACATCCCTAAAGTGCCTATTTATTGAATGCCCAAATGGTTCATTTGTAATTTACACAGCCCTCACATTAACCTGGGAAGCTAGCTGTTAGTGCCCATTTTATGGACGAGGCTAAGATTCAAAGAGGTTAAGCACTGGCCCCCAGTCACAGAGCAGTGATTGGAGGCCAGAGCTCTCTCACTCCGAAGTCAGAATGGTTACTTTCTAGGTCTTGGTAATGTTATTTGAACATCAGCTTAGCCTTTTTGAGCTTTCTTTATAAGCTGTAAAAATATGTAGCTTTCACAGCATTTTACCAGTGTGATGTGCTTTTTAAAACAGAACATTGTCTTATGACTACAAAAGTAATATTCATACGTTCAAGTAGAAAGCTTGAAAAGTATAGAAATACACAAAGAAGAATATTACCCATAATTCTGCTTCCAGAGATAACTCCTACCAATTTAGTCACGAGTTATTATTTTTGGAGAAAAAAATACTGTGATACTAACTATATCAAAGTTATATCAATTTTAAGTTATACCACAATTTAACAACATGAAAAGTGCATGTTTAGGAGTTGAGGAAATATAATATATACAAACGTATATATTTCTAGTTAAATTGGATCCATACTATTTTGTTACTTGCTTTTTGCCCCCACCTTTTCTGTTTTGTTAAGTATTCTCCAGTATTATCTTTATGGCTGGACTGTATTTTATACATATATATTATAGATATATCTATAGATAACACCTATATATATCTATATATATCAAAAGATATATATATATATTTTTTATATATATCGTTGTGTATTTGTTGTTCATATATCTTCCAAAATGGATTATGGATTTGGCTGCTGCTTTTGGAGAATATGTGTGTGTGTGTGTGTGTGTGTGTGTGTGTGTGTGTGTAAATCTGGCCACCTTGCCAGAAAGGATAAAATAAATTGTAGGTAAAACTAGACAATGCAAGTTGTTAAGATAAACTATTATTGCTGTCACATGTCCCTTCAACATCTACTGAGGGAAAAGCATTTTACGTTCTTTCAGAGGCCCACATGAATAATAATGTGTGTGCTGTGTGTTTTATTTTTAACAGAGGCTAGTATCACCAGCCTGAAACAAGCAGCTCTGGTCAAAGCTCCTCTCATCCCAACCCTGAATACAATCGTGCAGTACCTAGACCTTACCCCAAACCAGGAATACTTGTTTGAAAGGATCAAAGGTAACTATTGATTTGAAGAGGGAAGAAAATGAGAGCTTTTCCACTGCTTTGAGATGTAACGAATAAAGACAACAAGGGAAAAGATTTTTGAAAAATTAAGTGTTACTAAATATGATCTTGTTTTATAAATATATATTTAATTATGGCTTGACTAAAACTTGTACTTTAGTATACTACCTTTTGGGTTTTATATTTTACATGCTTAAGAATTGTCAAAATAATATACTTAGTCTTGAATATGTTAATTAGTAATTTTATTCTATATAGGAAGTTTAAATATGAGATAAATGGGCTCAAGTGAGAGTGCCACTCTGACATTCTTTATAATTTCAGCATGTTCATTTTTTCTTTCAATCCTTATATATCATATTCATTACGTTGCTTTTTACATTTCTGTTATATTCTGATTATTTGGGGGGAAATGTGATCTTCTGAGGAGGCTGACTTGAAAATGGGAAATTTAGCCTCCCTGATACTCCCACATACTCTCTTTTTTGCCTCCCTACTTTTATTTAGATAAACTCTGTAAAATGTTCTCATCACTAAAACAAGCTTTAGAAATAGTATTTTACCTTATCATAAATCTTAACTTGAAAATGGTACAGTGCCCATTCCTCTCTCCCGTCGGTTTGGTCTGGGATTCAGGAATAAGCATTTACCATGACTTTGAAAACACTTTTTATATAAGGAGAATTCAAACACACATAAAAGTAGACACAACAGCATAGTCTGTTGAACTCGCTTGTACCTAGCACCCGGTCCCAACAACCATCAGTCCTGGGCAACCTCTGCCCCACCCATAGCCCCATCTACCTTCTCCCTTCCTGTAGCATTTGAAGCAAATCGTGTATATCATCACTTCATCTGTAAATATCTCCGTATATATATCTCTAAAAGATAAGGCCTTTAAAAAACATAACCATAGTACAATTATCACACCTAATATTTTTTAACAATTTCTTTATATCATGAAATACACGGTCTATATACCAATTTCCAACCATTTCATAAAATGTATAATTACTTGTTTTGGTAGTGTTCATTTGAATTGCAATTCAAATATTATGACATGTTATGTTGGTTGATATATTTAAGTATCATGTAAGCTATAAGTTTCCTGTCCATCCTTTTTTACCTTTGCAATGTGTTGAAAGAACTGGATTGTTTGGCCTGTAGTGTTTCCCAGGTGTGAATTTTGCTGAATGCGTCCCCGTGGTGTAGTTTTACACGATCCCCTGTTCTCTATATTTCCTGAAAATTCAGGTTACACTTTTTGTCAAGATTGCCTAATAGGTAGCAGGGTATTTGTCTATTCAAGAGAAGTATGTGTGTGTGCATATATAGATACAAAGTATACATGAAGTATTACTATATTATATATCAAATATACAAAAAATGTCTAAAAAGTACAACGAACCCTGTATGGGCCTTCTAGATTAAATAATAATCAACATTTTCCATGTTTGAGTCTCTTTCTGTATACACACACTTTTTTACTCTGCCATTTGGAAGTACGTTGTGGACATCATTACTTTTCAGCACGCGAATTCCTTAAAAAAATAGCATTCTCCTACATTACCACAATTATCAGACCTTAATAATTAACAGCATTTCTGTATTATCTAATATACAGTTTATATTCAAATTTCTCAGTTGTACAAAGAATGTTATATATCCTGTTTTTCCCTAACCAGGATAAAGTCTAGGTTCACCCATTGCATGTTTCATCTTTTTTTTTTTTTTGGTCTCTTTGTCTAGAACAGTTCTGCCACCTTTTTCATCATATGACATTGACTTTTTAAAAGAATCCAGAATCGTAGGCCTGCCTCACATTTTGGCTTTATTTGATTCTTCATGGTGATGTTTCATTTAATCTTTTGTATCTTGTATTTTCTTATGTTTGGGTCTTTTGATCAGGTTTTTAAGATTATGTGCTTCTCTTACTGTAACCTCTTAGCCTTTTTTTCCTTTTTTGCATATTCTTAGCTTTTTTCATTTCACCTTTGTTGCTATAGAACTTTCTCAGGGAGGCTGCATGAGCTCCTTTCGATGGAATAGAGGTGGGGACTTCAAAGGACGCAAGTGGGATACTGACTTGCCCACTGATTCTGCTGTAAGTCCCTAGTTTGGTTTTTTTCGGTTTTGTTATTGGATTTATGTTTTCATTTTCAATTATGAAAATAACTATTAAAAAGAATTTAGAAACTAAGGTAGAAATAAAAAATTAAAATTGTACCAGCATCTTAACCCAACCACTGTTTATATTTTCATGTATTTTTTCCTTTATTTAGATTGTGCTATTTTTCTATGTTTTTATCATAGTTGTAATCATTCTGTATGTAAAATTTTGTATCCTGATTTTTTTCATTTTTGCGATGTTGAAGGATTTTTCGGTATGACTTACTGTCATTTAACTATTCTCCTACATTGGACCTAAACGTTTGAGAAACGTAGTGGGGGAAGGATTTTTATTTTTCCATCTTAAATAATGTTACAAGGACAATCATGATGCGTATTTCTTTCTTATTTGGTCTTTTGACTTTAAGAAAGATTCTTAGAATTAGACTTATAAGATCAAAGAGTATAAAGTTTTGGGGCATTTAAGAGTTTTTCAAAATCATGTTCTTTATTTTTTTATAGTGACTGTAATATGTGAAAATGAAGTTTTAAATGCTGATATTCAAATTGAGAATTGAATGTATGTGTAATTTATCTTGGCTCTGATGTTAACTATGTGGGTGTGAATGATCCACTTAACAGAAAACTAGGAATGTCTTTTATCTTTTCATTTTATAGATTTCATCCTATAAATATAACCACTTGAAAGCATTTTTGCTAATTCTCTCTTTAGGGAAAAATTTAAAAATTGGAGTCATTATAAACACAGATGTTTTTAAAGGGCTACATCCATGATAGATTTTCACGCTGACTTTGAAATATTGTTTCCTCATTTTTAGATCATCATGCATGTATTTTGCACCTACCTTGATTCCAGATTACCTCCACATCCTAAATACCCCGATGGAAAAACATTTACTTCTCAGCACTTTGTTCAGACACCAAATAAGCCAGGTAAGAGCCTCGCCTACAAGAGTGAGTTGAGCCCTTCACATGGCATACACTGAGTGGTTCTGTTTTTTCATGTAGCATATTTCCTTTACAGATGTGACAAATGAGAATGTTTTCTGCATTTATCAGAGTGCCATCAACCCTCCCCATTATGAGCTAATCTATCAGCGTCATGTCTACAATCTTCCAAAGGTACTTCTAAGTGTACAAGTTGCTCTTATAAAATGTCATGAATGACTTGCTTTGATGATATTTGTAAAATAGATGCTCTTATTGATGGACTAGGTAAACTTTTTAAATTAGGAGAAATGCGTATATTCCCACCCCTTTTTTTAACTGTACAAGAATTATATGCTTAATTCGGAAACGCATAAAGAAAAAGAAAAATCACTCATTATTCCACTACCTAGAGGCAGCTGAAGCTAGCTAGCATTTTAGTGTATTGCCTTTTGATAACTTTCATTTTGGATTTTCTCTGTACTTGTTCATGGGTTGAAATCATTGATATAGTTTTTTTTTGTTTTTTGTTTTTTTTTTTTTTTAAGATTTTTTATTGGGGAATTGGGGGGATGGGAACAGTGCTGGGGAGTTGGGGGAAGGGGAACAGACAAGTTGCTGTCGTTTTGTTCTTCAATCTAGTCGTGGAGGACGTGGCTTCACTGGCCCAAGTTGGCACCATCATTGCGCTCTTCTCTGGCGAGGCAGATCAGTCGCCGGCCTCTGGACGGCCGCTCACTGCGGCTGCTGGCCGCTCACGCTGGCTGCTGGCCACACACGGTAGCCCATGGCAATCCACTGCCACAGGGACTGCAGCCCACGCCGTCGCCGGCGACTCATGGCAGCCCAGCTCCAGGTTGAGCTGTTGTTCAGCATCTCAGCTGCGGAGGGCAGTGTCACTGGCCCTCATATGTGGGATCCGAACCGGGGCCCTCTGGCATCCCAAGCGAGTTCTTAACCATCGCGCCACTCGGCCGGCCCATTGATATAGTTTTATGTTCTTTAAAAAATTAACTGTAACATAATTTTCCATGCCATTAAAAATCTTCATGAAAATACTTTTTAATGGCTATACAAAAAACATCATAAGATTATAAAATAATTTATTTTGCTATTCCCCGACTATTGGACATTTTGGATGTTTCTAATTCTTCATTATCATAAATAATAGTCTGAGTATTCTCCTGAGTAGTCATCCTTGTTTATATAGCTACCTGCATTTTGACTAATTTATTTAGCCCGAAGCCCAAAAGTGGAATTCTAGATTACAGAGTATTTTCAAGTCTTTTAAAATGCATTATCAAACTACTTTATAAAGCTGGTTATCGTACCAGTTTACACTCCTGTCCGGGTACTTCACGTTCGATTGCAAACACCGGTTCTGCTGGTGACCTTTGAGGTCATTTTTGTTACCAGTGTCTTGACTAAGAAATTTTACATTGACTATCATCGTAAATTGTGTTCTCCAGCCATCAGATTCCTAAGAAAGAATATTAACTTCATTTTTTTCAAGTTTAATATTTCAACTTTGTAAGTGTAAATATTTGGGGTCGTTGAAGTTCCTTTGAGTACCCATGCAAATACTTTTTTTTTTCTTTTTTTAAGAATATTCTCTTTTAAAATATATCCTCAGATTCTTGAATAAAAGCACTAAATGAATAAGCAGGTATAAATTGATCAGTGAATTGAAAATCTAAGTTAGGGGCTAGTTCACAGACTAGAAATTACATATAATAGTTTGATTTTAGGACTAGCAAAATGCTGCCTTGTAGTCCCTTGTAGATAAAATATTTAACATTTATACTGTTATTAACATAGACTGTAATGTATTTTGAAATGTGATTAAAAGTGTTTTAATCCCGACGCTTGTATTTATGCTGTTAATTTGGGGATAGAGCACTTTTTGTGTGTAGTATACGGGGCACCAGCCTCAGAGTAGCTCCCTTCCAGGCCTTCGTAAACACTGCTCCCCATGTGTGGAAACGTCCTAGTCTGTTTACTTTCTGCTCATCTTTCAGGTCTCCACTTAAAAATCTTTCCCTCGGGAAGGCACTCCCCGCCTCACCAGTCTGGGTCAGATGCCTGCGTGTGTTCCCATGGCACCCTCCACCTCCCCTCTCATAACATTCATCACTTCACAGAATTAATTACAGAATTACTTCTTGTAATTCTGAGTTTACTGCCTGCGTTTTTACTAGACTGTACGCTCCTTGATTACATGGATCCTCCCTGTCTTATTCACCCACTTCCCAGCACAAAGCAGGCACTTTGTTGAATGAAGGAATGAAAGTCTGAATTCCATGGAATTCTGAGTTAGTAGAATGTGAATTAGTAGGATCTGCATTTACCTATCAGACTGACTTGTTGAATTTGGTTTAAACCTCACTGACTTTTTGTCTTTGTTCCAGGGCCGAAATAACATGTTTCATACATTATTAATGTTCCTCTACATCATAAAGACCAAAGAGTCAGGCATGCTTGGGTAGGTATTTATGCTTGAAAAACACAAGACTTAATTTATTTACTGTTTTCCTTCCTGTGTTAAGATTCTGCGGAAGGCAGTATCACATACTAAAAAGATTTATGGACTGAGCAATAAGAAATATGGCCTCTAGTTCTAACCAGCTCTTCTGTCTTGGGCAAGTCCATTAATCCCTCAGAACCTCCATTTCCCTATTGGGTAAAAAGGCAGTTGGACCCCATCACTGGCCTTACAATTGTGGCCCCCGGAAGAACAACTCTGAGATCTGTGTCAGGGTCTTGCCACTTTCAAAACAAAACAGGATTCTAATTTTATTCCAGCCATGATATTTCAGACACAAGCTTTCTGCAAAGTGTTTATACTTCCAGAGAGACTGAGTCAGTACTCATCCCGTAATATTATTAAGTGGGGTGGAACAGTTGCAAAACTGGAGTTGTTTACTTTGTTGATTTTAAATGCATAGTAATGAAGCTCACATACGAGTGTAATAAATTTAAATTTTCTGTATTGTTATTTTGGTGATGTGAAATTTTAGTGTAGCAAAGAACATTCGAAGTACATAGACCCCAGCTAAAGCTGGGGGAATCTGGCACGACAAGGTCTAGGAGTCTGAAAGCCTGGGTCCTGGGTCCAGCTCTGCCCGATCTAAGTCACCTGAGGTTAAGAAAATGGAAAGGGAAGTGCCTGGAATAGAAAACAGCTGGAGTCTATTCCAGTGCTGATGTGCATGCCTCTTTTCAGTTTTGTTTAGGGGTCTATCCTGTAGTATATACAGGGGGTGCCCAAAAAATGTATGCACATTTTAAGAAAGGAAAAAAAACTTATTAAAATTGTAATACTCAATATATACCGATAACAAAAGATGAATACAAGTCATGTGTATACATTTTGTTGGCAGCCCTGGTATGCTCTAGAGCAGCAGTTCTCAACCTGTGGGTTGCTACCCCTTTGGGGGTCGAATGACCCTTTCACAGGGGTCACCTAAGACCATCGGAAAACAAAAATATATTTACATTACGATTCATAACAGTAGCAAAATGACAGTTATAGAGTAGCAATGAAAATAATTTTACGGTTGGGGGTCACCACAACATGAGGAACTGTATTAGGAAGCATGAACGGCATTAGGAAGGTTGAGAACCGCTGATCTAGAGTTACATTGTCCAAAACGGCAACCACCAGTCACATGTGGCAGCGAGCATTTGAAACATAACTAGTCCAAATTGAGATGTGCTGTAAGTTTAAACACATAGACTAGAAATCGAAGACATAGTACCAAAAAAAAAAAAGTAAAATATCTCATTAATAAGTGTATATTAATTACATATTGAAATAATATGTTGGCTATATTGGGGTAAATGAAATATATAATTAAAATTAGTTTCACCTGTTGCGTTTTACTTTAACTTTTTTAAGGTATTTATTAGAAAATTTAAAATTATGTGTGTGGCTTGCCTTTGTGATTCACATCCCACTATATTTCTGTTTGGACAGCACTGCTCTAGAGAAAGCCAAGCTCCTGCTGTTAAACATATTAAATGCAAAGATAGAAGCAGAAATTTATAAACAAATAAATGTATATCAGCTTTTTTTATATGTTTAATGTAAGAAAGATTAAGTAGTAAACACTTTTGTGAGGCATCTAAACATCTAAATGTCCTTCTGTATTTTTTAATTACAAAAATAATGCATGCTCAATATAGAAATATTTAAACAATACAGCAGTGATAAACTAGAACTTGAAAATTCCCCTCTCATTGGCTTCTCTCACTCTTCTTCACACTCTCTCGAGGCACCCAGTGCTAACAGTTTCAGGTGTATGTTTCCAGACTACTTTCTGGGAATAAGTTGATATTGTTTAAAAATATATTGTACCCACCCTAACATATTACTCTGTGACCTGCTTTGTAATCTCATAGTATGTCATGAACATTCTTCTATGTCAGTAAATACAGATTTTTTTTCTAGCTGTATTTAGTTACAAATATATGCATACATATATATATATATATTAGAACGGTGGAGTATATGGTTTCACATAATAGAGATATACAGCTCTCTCTCAATTCCTCAGTGTTGGGCATTGTTGGTTGATTTATTATTTTGTTAGATGAGTAATTTATCTCTCTCATAGCCCTCTTCTCTTTCCCTCATACTTTGAATGCGGTTCTATTACTGTCTGGAGTAGAAGTAGATTTTTCTTCTTGTTGTATAAAGTATGGTTGGGTTTAATCTATGTTAGTAATACCCATATGCAAATCCAGTGAAGCATCTCTAATAATTAGAAAATTCCTAATTCAAGAGAAATAGATACGTCTCTTAAGAGCCCTATTATCTCTATATCCTCCATTTCTAAAAATTTAATTGACACTTTTACTTTAATCTGACTTGCCAAAATTATCCTGTTCACTTTCTCTATCTGATGTAGTAGTTCTTCACACCCACTGAAAAATTAATTTCAACACACAATAAATCCTTTTATTTTAAATTTGGGTTTTAAACAAGAAAGCAATTTCTGTTACTAGAATTCACCAATAAACCACGTGTAACATAACTTATTGCAGAATAGTATTAAATGTTATCAATTAAACATGTATTCCTTCTTTCAGTTATTTGAGAAAAGACCTTCAATGCTTGGCAATCAATTCCACTAAAACTTTTTTTTTTTCTCTTTATAGGAGAGTTAATCTTGGCCTATCCGGTGTGAATATTTTGTGGATTTTTGGCGAGTAGTGGGTCATTTAATTCTAAACATTTGGACTTCTAGTTGACTGAATCAGAAGTTGAATCTAAGCATCTCTGAGTCACCACCTCTTTTGTTTTAAGACACGTGTGTGTGTTACAGACTGTTTAGATTTAATGAAACATTCGCTTTTATAAAACTTCCTTGTATAAGTATGTCCCATATCTTCTACACCAAGAGACATTGCCCTCAATTTTTTATTGCATTTCTGGGTTTTTAGTTACCTACAAAACTGTAACCATTCAGATTGTTGTTGACCCAAAACAATGCAATTCCCCCTTAATTAAATATGAGTCCTTTTTCATTTTAACTTCCAAATAAGATTCATCTACCGCATTCTTCCCCACAGAAATTGATTTTTCAATCACATAGTATAAATACTTAACAAGAAACAAGCAAATTGCTAATTTTTTTATTTCTGTCTTTTCCCAGTGTTTGAAAAAATCAGCCCAAGGCCCATATTTAAAGAAATGAGAGAAACTCCTAAGTAATGTATAATAGTTCATATGTATTCTTAAATATTATTGAAAGAGGTTTGACAGTATTAGTGTTTAAAAAGTCAACGCTCGGGCCAGCCGAGTGGCTCCGTTGGTTAAGAGCTCGCTCAAGAGTTGGAGCTCTGAGCAACAGCAGTTCGATTCCCGGCCCGAGCTGAGCTGCCGCTGAGCTGCCAACAGGTGGCAGGATGGCTCAGCTAAAAAAAAAGTCAATGCTTGGATTAAGTTTAGCTGATAGAATTAAACTATTTGGGTGTTAGTTTAAGAGGTTAAGGACTGCTTTGGTTTTAATAACTCAATTTCACTATCCCATAATATTGTATTATATCAAGAGTTCCCTTGAAGACCGTATGATACCTTATGTTTAAATTGTCTCGGTATGTTCAAAATATCTGAAGAGTAAGAAGTTACCAAGTTTGTAAGTTTTGCTTTGACCCCTCCATCTTTATTTTCTTACGTGTGTATGTAGTATCTCTAAGGCTAGCTAGCAAGTGCATGCATTTTCTGGACTGACATATTATTAGACTCCTTCCATCGCCTGGAAATAACTAAAACCAGTATCTTCTGAATAACTGCATGTCAGTATTATATATGCAACAACCCATTTTGTGTAATTTGTAAATTATCTTTTTCAGAAAGTTGTTCCTGTTTTTTAAGTCATATGTCCACTGAAAAGGAAATTTCTATCTTTTGATACCTGTTAAATATGTTTTCTATGATATTGTAGAAGAAAATATCAATTAAACATGTTAAATATAAAAACATGTTGAGATCTAAGTCTATTATTTCAAAAGTTATTAAGGATGTTATGGAATAACAGTTGCTTTACTGTTAGACTATTCAGTTGCATATTCTTTATTAAAAGCAATAAGGAGAAAAATTTTAGCAATGCATACATTTTTTTTTCTTTATAGGACTTAAGGTAACTTTTAGTCCAAAAATTCAAAGCTATAATATTTTATTTTTTAAGTGACTGTCAAAAAATACAATATGCAGTAAATATACACATAAAAAGACTAGGCATACCTAGTAAATAAGAAAAAATGTTTTGTTTCTATGCGAAGTCTAGTGGGGGTGTCTATACCCTGGGTATCTTTCCTATATTAACCTGTCTTCACCAACGTTTGAGCCAGCTTATCCTTTAATATTGCCTTTATTAAAACTCCACACTTCAGGAAGACGGTGCAATGCAAATATGGTAATTTTTTTTGGTCCTTGTGTTAAAACGAGTAGCTATCTACTTTATGTATAGGATATTTTTCACAAGCTTTTATTGCTTGCTTGACTCATCCTTGTGGGATCAAATCCGCTAATCTTCTAGATTATGTTCACTATCATGTGTCCTTTTCTCTATGATCAGCCTTTACTTAGCCACATTTGTTGTAGGGGAATAGTAGGTGCTTACAATTCAGTTACTACAAGACATAAACACGCTGTGTTGTTTGGCTTTCTCAAACTGATGTGCACTTCCAACCTGTATTTTAATGGTGAAGACATGTAGCATGTGGATGGCCCTGCTCACCTCAGCTTTGTAACATGAATCCTTTCAGTGTTCTCGTTCCTCAGAGGTCAGCCTGTGGTCTTCTGTTTGACTGCACTGTGCTTTTCCCTAGAGGTCTCATTCATTCCACAACTTCATTTATCACTCTCTGCACTTGATTCCCAAGTTCATCACCAACCGTAGCGTCTCTCTTGAGCTCTAGTGTTACACTTCCTGTGACCTGCCAGACATTTCCACCTAGATGTCCTGCAGACTCGCTCTGTCTGGAACAGAATTCACCTCTTCTGATAGCAGCTCCCTCTTCTAACGCGCCTTTTTCTGTTGGTTGTCCTACCGGTTGCCCATGCTCAAAACTGGTGTCATCTTTGATTCCTTGAGCTCCCCGGGTCCCCAATCCAATCACGCAGCCAAGCCTCATCCATTCTTTCCTAACAATGTCTCTTGCAGCTGTCCCTTTCCATTTCTGCTGCCACGATGCTCATTTACACCCTTATCAAGCCACACAGGACGACCGCAACAGCCTAATTAATCTCACAGCTTCCTAATTGTCGCCATGCCTCCAGATTTTCCAATTCATCCTGCACATTCTCTTCAAATTCATCTTCCTAAAACACCTGTTTGATCATTTCATTCCCCTGATAAATTCCTTGGCGTGACATTTAAAGCCCTCCACAATCTGGCCCCACGTTAGCCTTATCACCCAGGTCCTTGGCGGCAGCCGGTGCAGGCTGCCCCTTGCTGGGCTCCCAACGTGCTCCCTCCTGCTCATCCCAACCACTCTCGGAGGATGGCCCTCACCCCGCCTTGAGACGTCACTCTAATTAAACCGCTACTTTTTGGAGCTGGACCCGACTACTCCAGCTGGCAGTCGTTTCTCCCCCGGGGTGATTAGATCTATGCCCCTTGTTTGGCACTCAGCAGTCATATGAATGGATTCAGAAGGGACTTCTAGTCTCTCTAACAGTATGTCCTTACATCCTGCCTCATCCTCATAAAAGAGCTGAGTTTTTTTCTAGTCTGAGCTGTACTGCTGTTCAGGAAAACTTAGTGAAGACTTAAAGCTACTTTTTGGGAAAGCTTGCATTCTCTTGGAAGGACACCTTTTTAGCAGCCAAGCACACTGGCTTTCCTTTCGTGGCTAGACCGAAGAACAGCGAGCATTCCCAGGACTGGACAACTACAGGGAGACGGTGAAAAATAAAGATGTTAGGAAAATGGCAGAACTGATTCCATGCACTCTTGGGGGTCTTCCATAGTGAGCTGGGGGAGGCCATTGCGCTTAGCAGTGGCACATTGTCCCCGATGCTAAGGGTCCACTGTGAGACATCTGGAGAAGCACTGGTCCATCCACCCCTCCAAGGGGCTGCAGTCACAGCTGCCCCCAGACTGGGTAGGGGAAAGTATGTGAGGATAAGCAGCCAAGCGGTGAGACTTGTCTTCCCACTTAGAGGGAGAGGGGTTTGCACAGTCAGCACTTGGGCATTCTGGGTTCAGTGACTTTGCCATATCGCACTTGGTGTGCCAATGACTTTGCTCAGTCTGCATTAGTGGGCATTACCTCTGAGCTACATCTCTATAATTTGGTCCTTGGGTGGCTGTTGGTAATTTCATTGCCACAATGAATGAACTGCACTGACCTGGGGGACAGGTTATGGATTCTACATGGGATGGCACCTCAGTTGGGGTTAGGAAGAAGAGTCCAGTACAGCAGGATGGGCATGGAGAACAGCCGTGTGTGCGTGCTTCAGGGACCCTGTCCACCTAGGACAGCAGTGACCCCAAAGATAGTTCATAGCAAAGTCACACACACACAACCCCAGGCACTTCTGCCGATGAAATGTAAAGCTATCCGTAAATTCTTTCATGCCCCCCAAACAAACTGAATATTCCAAAGTCAGTCTGGCTAGAAGCCAGTGGCCTGCATGAGCTGTGACTTGGGAGGACAGCTTTGTCATTGATTGGGGCAGCGCAATTAACCTTGTACACTGTGATTTCTGATTAAGATAGAGATACTCTTCATACCGCAGAGATCAATGCAAAGCTACAAGTGAAAATCATGGATGACAGTGCTTTTAGGGAGTGAAAAAATGGCTCACAAAAGTTTTAAAAGAACAGTGTAAAATTAGGAAATGGCCCATTTGGCAGTGTATAGCAGCTGTCTCTTTCTTGGGTCACGCTGAGATACAGACCTTTATGGCCTGGACACCCTCCCACCAAACCCCAACCTCTGTCCTAGCCCAGCTGTCTCTGCCTCCTCCCTTTTTCCTTTCCCCACCCCAGTCCTGGCCGTTCCCCAGTCACAGACAGTGCTGCCCTTGTCTCCCAAAGGCCGGGCTTTCTGGTCTACCAAGAAAACACATTCTCCTTCCTTTCTCATTTCTAAACTAGAAGGAAAAAATAACAACCCCGAATCAGACCCTGCTTTCATGAACTGCGACCCATAGGAAGAAAGTCAGAAGGTGGTGATCTGCTCTGTTGGGGGCAAAACTTGTTTTTCCAGCCATGATTCTTCCTCAAACGCATGGTGTGTAAACTGGAATCGGGCAGCTCTGTGATAGTTTTGGCCCAGAATACAGGCATTCGCTTACTGAGCTCCAACTCCAAAGAAAGGCCCCCTTGTGTTCCTTACGAGGAGGGGTCTCAGCCACTGGACAGCCTGAGGGGCAGCTGAGACGCGTGAGAGCGAGACTTGGCAGAAGGAGTTCTGAACGAAAGCCATCGGCCCCCAAACCTGGTGCTTTGAGAAAAGTGTTCTATGGCTTCCATCTCGAGTTAGCTAACCACTCTGAAAAATAAATTCAGTACAATGCTCCCATCCAGTTAAATGTTCTACATGAGCTCCTGAAAGTTATTTTTATGCCATCTTGAAAATTCCTGGAGTTAACTACCTTCAAAGGGAAGTTAGACACCACTTAGACCAAGTGCCGGGGATAGAAAACTTGGAGGCAAAATCCGCATCCTGGAATACAGTGTCTCCTAAATAGGACAGGAGGTGTTTTCTATGTAGCCAGAGAAGTTATCCTGCCTTTACGCTATTGTATCTCTCCGCGTAGGCTGCTATTTTTTCCCACCTCACAATTCTATTTCCCCCATACATACCCCCTCCCCACTACCCCCCTGTCAGTAGTTTCTATTAATGAGGGGTCTGCAGCTGTTGCTGGCTTGCCCTCCTGACCCCATCCTGGCAGGTGCAATAGTGGGCGATGCTAGAACAAATACCCCAGGAAACCTGCAGGTCTCTCGTGTTTCTTCCACTGCATCCTGTTGATCCAGGCAGCCACAAAGAACTGACCTATTTCAAAGGGAGGGAACATAGACCCCACCTCTCAATGGAAGGATGTCC